ACTGTACAAAGTAGAAAAACAACTCTACAAACTATACTTTAACTGCTCTGTACGTTCACTGATTGCAGAGTATTATTGGACTGTGACTGTCTAAAAAAAAAAAAAGAAAGAAAGAAAAAAGAGAAAAAACATGAATAAATACATGAATAAGTAAAGGAAATAAAATAACCATATTTTAACTGCTCTTTACGTCCGTGAATTGCAAAGAATATGAATGAACAGAAACTACAAAAAAAAAAAAAAAAAAAAATGTAACTGTACCTACTTTTTTTTTTCTTTTTTGACACTTCATTATCTTTATCTTAATAGTACCGTGCATTCATTAGCACCTCACGGTTCATTAATTACAAACGGACAATCGATAAAGAATGAGCTCCCCCCACCCCCCCTGTCCTTCTAGATATGAATATAAAGAACCCGGAGAGAAAAAAATGAGAAACCGGGTGGTAATTGGTTGACGGAAAAGCGATAAGGCCAATGGCTGCTGTTCAGTTCTGAGGGACACTTGTTTGGTGGTGGAAGGGAGGGAGGGGGGAAGGGAGGGGGAAGGGAGGGAAGGAAGGGAGGGGGGAAGGGAGGGGAGAGGGAGGGGGGGAGGGGGGAGAGAGGAGAGGGAAGGGAGGAAAGGGAGGAGGGAGGGCGGGAGAGAGAGGGAGAGGGAGGAGGGAGAGAGGAGAGGGAGGGGGAGCGGGGAGAGGGAGAGGGAGAGGGAGGGAGGGAGGGGCGAGAGAGGGGAGGGAGGAAGGGAGGGAGGGGGGGGGAGAGAGGGGAGAGGGAGGGGAGGAAAGAGGGAGGGGGAGGTGGAGAGGGAGAGAGGAAACGGAGAGGGAGAGAGAGAGGGCGGAGGGAGGAGGGGGCTTGAGGAAAGTAGTAATAGGTATATATGTGGTGTGTGTACACAATATATGTGTTTATATAGACGTCCGTAGATATATATAACATACGCATATAGTATAGTATATAATTATTATATATATATATAATATATAATGATATATATATATATATATATATATATGTATATATATGTATATATATGTTATATATATATTATATATATATATATATAATAATATAATATATTATATATATGTATATATTTGTTGTGTGTGTGTGTGTGTTGTGTATGTATGTAATTATGTGTATATAATGTCTACATGTACTCGCACGGCCATAACCGTGAAGAGGCCCCTCGACTGTAGTGCAACTCTTTGGGAAATGTTTATGCTTTATCGCGGTTCTTATGCGTCCTCTGAACCTCTTTCCTCGGGGTTTTACACGGGATCCGATCCTATTCGTGGGGTCGCGTTGCGGTTTTTCGTGCCTCAGTTGTCTGGGTCTTTGTTTTTGGTTGTTTGTGGCTCTTGTTTTCGTTTTTTTATTTTTTTTTTTTTTCATTTCGATCTGCAGTTCTTCTCCAACACTCGGCTTTCTCCTTCGTCTCTCCCCTCCCTCCAGCTTTTTTTATTTTTTCATCTTTCAGTTTCTTCTTCGCTTCTATTCTCTTCTTCTTCCTCCTTCCTTCTTCCCTGTCCTCTTCTCCTCTTCTGTGTTCTCTTCTCCTTCCTGCTTTTTTCTCTCTTGTTCTCTGACTCCTCTTTCTCCTCTTCTTTTAACTTTTTCCTCCTCTTCTATATTCTCCTCCTCCCCCCTCTTCTTCTTTCTTGCCTTCTTCCTCCTCCTCCTCCCCCTCTTCTTTTTTTCTTCTTCCCCCCTCCTCCTCTCTTCTCTTTTCTTCCACCTCTCCCCTCTCCCTCCTCCTTCTCCTCTTCTTCTTCTTCCCTCTTCCTCCCCTCCTCCTCCTCCTCTTCCTCCTTTGACTTCCCCTTCCCTTCCCCTCTCCCTCCTCCTCCCTCTCTCCTCCTCCCCTCCTCCCCTCCTCTCTCCTCCCCCTTCATCTCCCCGCCCACCCCCACCCCCACCCCCTGCCCACTCCCCCAACCGCCACCCCCCACCCCCAGACGGCCCATCAACCACGAGAGCGGGCGGCTGCGACAAGCGTTACGGGCGGCACCGATAACTGATTGTGGAAGTGATCGCAATTGCGGGCGTGCGGGCGTGCGGGCGGTTTATGAGGGCGGGCTAATGGGCGGCATACACCCCCCCCCCCAAGCCCATCCACCCTCCTCCCTCCCTCCTCCTCATTCTCTCCTCTTATCGCCTTATTCCCTTGGCTCATAGGAATGTGGAGGAAAAGGGAGAGGAGGAGAGGGAGGAGGAGGGAAGGAGGAGGGAGCGAGGAAAAGGAAGGGAGGAGGAGGAAGAGGGTACAAGAGGAGGAGGAAGAAGAGAGGAGAGGAGGAAGAGGGAAGGAAAAAGAAAAAGGAGAAGAAGAGAAGAAGAAAAGAAGGAGGAGAGAACAGGAGGAAGAGAAGAAAGGAGGAGGAACAGAGGAGAAAAAGAAAAAGAAAAACGAAAAGAAGGAGTGAAGAAAAAGAAGATGACGACGAAGGAGGAGGAAGGAGGAAGAGAGGAGAAAGAGAGAAGATTAAAGAGGAGGAAGATGGAGAAGAGAAGAAGAAGAAGAAGAAGGAGAAGAAGAAGAAGAAGAAAGAAGGAGGAGGAGGAGAAGAGAAGAAGAAGAAGAAGAAGAAGAAGAAGAAGAAGAAGAAGAAGAAGAAGAGAGAAGAAGAAGAAGAGAAAAGAAGAAGAAGAAGAAGAAGAAAGAAGAGCAGAGAAGAAAGAGATAAAAAAGAAGGAGAAGGAGAAGAAAAAGAAAGAGAAGAGAAAGAAGAAGAAGAATGAAGAAGAAGAGAGTAGAGGAACGATGAGGAGAAGAAGATGAAAAAAGAGAAAGAAGAAGAAGGAAACACAGAAGAAGGGAAAGGAGAAGAGTAGCCATACGGATAAACGAAATGAATGTGAGAGGTCACTGTGTGGGGAGGGGGGGGAGGGGGAGGGGGGGAGGGGGGGGTAAAAGTGGCATGTGTTTGCTCTTTTTTAATGTGTGTGTGGTGTGTGCGTATGTGTCTGTTATGTGTGGTTTGTGTACGCATGTTATGTATATTTGTATTCGTGTATTCGCAAGATCATGAATGCTCATGTCTATAGAGCAAGAGGCAAGACGCGGAGATGAGAAAAATTAGCATGAGAGGCGAGTAATGTACGCTAGAATTAAGATAGGGTGCAGATAATAAGTACGACTGAGGAGGAGGGAGAAGAGAGAGAAAGGACGAGAGAAGAAGAGAGAAGAGTAAGAGAGAGGAAGAAGATGAGGAGAGAGGAGAGAGAGAGAGAGAGGAGAGAGAGAGAAAGATAGAGAGAGAGAGGAGAGAGAGAGAGAACGAGACAGAACAGAGAGAGAGAAGCGAGACAGAGAGAGAGAAGAGAGAACGTAAAGAGAAAGAGAAAGAGAGAGAGGCGATTTAAGAATGCCTCGCGCGAAATACGATCACGATTCTTCGGCCGTGTGGAAAATGGCGCTGGAGGCACTGAACACTTGGCACTTGACATCAACCGTGCCCTTAGAGGTGGAGGACGGGGCGGGGGGGTAGGGAGGGAGGGGTTAGGGAGGCTGGGATTAGGGAGGGGGAGGGGTAGGGGCGGGATTAGGGACGGAGGTGGGAATCAGGAGGGCAGTAATGTAGGGGAGTATGGGAGGGAGGGAGGGGTTTTAGGGGGACGGAGGGAGGGAGGGAAGGGTAGGGAGGGGGAGGGTAGGGAGGCTGGGATTAAGGGAAGGAGGGACGGGGGGGGTAGGGAGGGAGGGTTTAGGAACGGAGGAGGGGTGAGGGGTTAGGAGACTGGTTAGGGGGAGGGGTTAGGGAGGGAGGGAGGAGGAGGGAGGGAGTGGGTTAGGAGGGGAAGGGAGGAGGGAGGGAGGGAGGGAGGGGGTAGGAGGGAGGGGGAGGGGTAAGGAGGGCAGGGATCGAGGGGCAGGGATGTTAATAAGGGGTTTGAGAAGGGAGGAGGGAGGAGTGGGTAGGAGAGAGAGAGAGGGATGAAAGAGAGGGAGGGAAGATAGAGAAAAAGGTAGGAGTAGATTGGATAGAGAGCAAGTAAGTGTGTGAGTGTGTATAAGGGAGAGAGAGAGAGAGAGAGAGAGAGATAGATAGATGATAGATAGATAGATAGAGAGAGAGAAGAGAGAGGATAGAGAGAGAGAGAGAGAGAGAGAGAAGAGAGAGAGGAGAGAGAGAGGGAGAAGAGAGAGAGAGAGAGAGAGAGAAGAGAGAGAGAGAGAGAGAGAGAGAGAGAGAGAGAGAGAGGGAGAGAGAGAGAGAGAGGAGAGAGAGAGAGAGAGAGAGAGAGAAGAGAGAGAGAGAGAGAGAGAGAGAGAGAGAGAGAGAGAGAGAGAGAGAGAGGGAGAGAGAAGGGAGGAGAGAGAGAGAGAGAGAGAGAGAGAGAGGAGAGAGAGAGAGAGAGGAGAGAGAGAGAGAGAGAGAGAGTAGAAGAGAGAGAAGATAGAGAGAGAGAGAGAGAGAGAGAGAGAGAGAGAGAGAGAGAGAGAGAGAGAGAGAGAGAGAGGAGAGAGAGAGAGAGAGAGAAGAGAGAGAGAAGGAAAGAGGAAAAGAAAAGAAAAAAAAAAAACAAGTCCAACTAATTGATAAAAAACAAAACAAAAACAAATAAAACAATATCCATATTAGACAAAGCTTTATAGAAATTTTTTATCAAATCCTCAAACAACACACCTCTCCCCCCTCCCCCCCCCCCCCCCCTTCTCCCTCCCAGACCCTCCTTCCTGCAATGGGCTGTTAAATGACGTCACAATGTGAAAATATAAATTGACAAAAAAAAAAATTGTCTCTACAGATTGCGTGTATCATTTTGTACTAACTTTCGCAAGTTTATAATTCTTGTTGTTTTTTTTTATTTGATCTTTTTAGCACTACAGCTTAAATGTTTTGTACGAATTGAAGACATACGAAATGCACTACAGGCTTAAAATGTTTCTTTTTATGAATAAAACACAAATTGAGAAACTAAATGACCAAATATATATGAATGCGTGTGTAGATATTTTTTATAGATAATAAGTATTCCAGATATACAAATACCTGGTGTTAGAGATACACTTAGACAGATACGTGAGGGTGTGTTTCGTCAAACCTCCCTCCATTTTCCTTTCTTCAAGTGGCCCACAATTCTCTCTGGGAATTTCTGTTTCAACATGGGTCTGAGGGCACTGTATGGGCACTCGGCATTCCTGGGTATTTTCTGTGGCTCTCTCTTTCGTTCGCTGTTCTTTCTATGTCTTCTGTTTTTCTCTGGGTTTTTTTTAGACTCGCTCTCTGTCTCTCTCGCTCTTTTCTGTCTCTGTCTCTCTCTCTTCTTCTCTCTCGTTCTCTCTGTCTGTTGTCTCTCTCTCTCTCTTCTCTCTCTCTCTCTCTCTCTCATCTCTCTCTCTCTCGTCTCTCTCTCTCTCTCTCTCTCTCTCTCTCTCTTCTCTCTCATCTCTCTCTCTCTCTCTCTGCTCTCTCTCTCTCTCTCTCTCTCTCTCCATCTTCTCTCTCTCTGTATCACTATGTATGTATGTGTATGTGTGTAAATGTAGGCGCTAAGCGTGTTAGCGTGAATGTGCGTGCGTGAGTGATTGTTTGTGCGTGGCGAGGGTGGTTTTGCGGGTTTAATTTCTGTTTGTTTATGAGTTGCTGGAAAGAGTGAGTAGATGACAAGGGTGGTTTGATAATTGTATATAATATGAAATAACTCTACCTTAATGCATTCTCACGGCCGGCGAACTGGCTGTCTCTCCCTTTACTCCTCTCGCCCTCCTTTCTCCTTTCCTCCCTTCCCTCCCTTTCTCTCTCTCCTCCCTCTCCCTTTCTCTCAACCTTTCCCTCCCTCTTCCCCCCCTCCTCCTCCCTCATCCCCTCCCGTCTCCCTTTCCCTCCTCACTCTCCTCCCCCCCTCTCCCTCCCTCTCCCTTTCTCTCAACCTTCCCGTCCTCTCCCCTCCTCTCCTCCTCTCTCTCTCCTCTCCCTCCCCTCCTCCTCCTCCCTCCTCTCCCTTTCTCTCAACCTTACCTCCCTCTCCGCCCCTCCTCCCCTCTCCCTCCCTCTCTCTTTCTCTCCTTCAATCCTCTCCCCCTCTCCTCCTCTCTCTCTCCCCTCCTCCCTCCTCCCCTCTCTCCCCTCGACTCCCTCCCTTCCTCCTTCCCTCCCTGTAGCCATAACATCACCCTCTAAAGTGGACAAGTGTAATGACAAAAAGTGTGCTCGCTCTAACCTCAGGGTCTGTGGTTTTGAATGTTCTAGAATGTTTCTATGAATTTCTTTTTTTTCTTTCTTTCTTTCTTTACTGATATTATGGTTAATTATTATAGTTATGTATATTAGGTATATATATATATATATATATATATAATATATATTTTTTTTTTTTTTTTTTTTTTTTTTTTTTTGGGGGGGGGGATTTTATTTTCTTCGAAATTTTAAGTTATTACGTTTTTTGGAATGAGGGTTTGGTTTTTGTGTTGATTTTCTCTTTTTTAATCTGTTTTCTGTCTGTTTTCGCTGTGCTGTTTTCCTCTCTCTCTCTCTCTTTCTCTCGTCTCTCGTCTCTCTCAACTCTTCTCTCAGTCATCATCTCTCTCTCTGTTCTCGATCAGTCTTTGCTGCGTTTGGTCGTCTCTCTCTCCTATCGTGGTTGGTCTATCTATCTATCTATCGATCTATCTATCTATCTATTCTATCTTATCTATCTAGCTATCTATCTATCTAACGTCTGTTCCTGTGTCTTCTCACATTATCATCTCTTCTAATAATAATAAGATAAACTTGAATAATTATTTTTTTGGCATTTTTTGTTTTTTTTCTGTTTCACGGTTTGATGTTTATATATATATATATATATAGTATATATCCTTATTATATATAATATATATAGTATATATATATATATATATTACCCTAAAAAAATCACACGTCTTTCATTCTTGACTATGTTTTATTTAAAGGATAAGTTTAGATGTGTTTTCCTTATTAGTGAAATGATTTTTAGCAAAAGAATGGTAAAACATTGGTAATTTTTTTTTAGAGAAATTCCTTCTTATTTTTTGGTTGTGTGCAAATGCTTTCCTCGCTCTTCTTTTTTTTGCCACATTCTTTAGCGTCATCTTTGTTGGAGTCAGCAATTGTTCTTCAAATAAACCTTTCAGTGTTTATTCTTTTCTCTCTCTGTTTATTCAGAGGGAGAATGGCTTCTCCGCTCTTGCTCTGTCGTCTTCGCCTNCAAAGGGTGTTTGTACATTAGATACCAGGGTAGCTGCAGTCGGCCAAAGGGTGCTGGGCAACAAAGGGAAGGGGGAGGGGCAACGAAGGGAGCGTGGGCGGGGTTAAGACGTGGGCGGGGCAAGCATGTAGAAAAGGACGGAGGGTAGGCTAAGGAGAGGTGCATATGGGAAGGGTGTGGAAAAAGGGAAATAGAATGTCCTTCGGTAATTATCCGTAGCGCATGAATATGATAATGGTGATGAGCGAATGACGCAGGGTAGGTCTGCAGGGTGAAGGAAGGCGGCGAGGATTTAGGTCTGGGAGCGCAAGATGCAGGTTGAAAATTTTTATGTCTTACACGCACCCCTTCCGGTAATGTGAATTATTGAGCTTAGGCCTAGGCTGCAGGGGCGGCAAGGGTGGGGATGGGTGGCAGGATGTAGGGGACGTGAAGGTATAAAAATTGTGAACCAAGGGCGTGTGTCGAGTTAGGAGGGGAGAGGGAAGGAAGTTGCATCAGAGAATAAGTATGGAAAGCGCGTGATCGAAGGATTGAGCGAAGGATTTAATTCATATGGGATTGAAATGTGACTACGGAATGCATGATGCGTTTGGGTCAAGGGTGCAGGAGAGAGGGACGGCCAAGGCAAAGGATGCGGCTCTGTGTTAAGAGAAGAGCGGCTTTTATCTTCACACTTTTCTGGTCCGCTGAGGCAGCGGAGTCTCGGCGCGACGAGAGTGCAGAGTGCGGGGGAGACAAACACCAACGCGCGAGAAGCACAAAGGGTTAAGGGCGGAAGGTGTAGGAAGGGGCGGCCTGGGCATGACAGTATGGCACTCGGCTGGCCCTCCGTGGCACCGGGCTCGTTATTTATATCCCGTGCTATCATTGGGTCTCCGGCGCGCCCACCGCCGCCAACCAATAAACAGGGAAAAGGGTTGGTAAAAAATGGTTGGGTGCGCGGCCTGATGCTGGCAGGGCGAGCGTGCCCGCCGCCAGGGCTGCCGCCAGGGCCGCCGTCACCCCCAGCCTCACCCGCCGCGGCTAAAAAGTTAGTGAGGCGCGGCGGCCCACGGGTCGGAGGACGCACGTAAGAGGCAGTAGGCCTAGCGCGGCGCGGCACCGCCACCTCCCAGCCAGTCTGTCCCTGCGCGCCGCTACAGCAACAGCAGCGCTCCTGCCACCGCCGCCGCACGGCTAGTGCCAACACCGCCATACAAAGGCGGCAGTGGATGACCCGCCCCCGCTACCTCGCCACCCTCCCGCCACTCCCTCCCGCTGTCCTCAGTGTTGTTGTGATAGTACCTGGCAGTGTGCGAGTGTCAGTGCCGCCCAGTCCACCAGAGCCGCACGCTCATGTTCAAGCAGTGCCACACTCCAACATGGTGTTGATTTTGATGGCATTTAGCCAGAGGGGCCAGTCTTGTGTGTGAAGTGAATTAATTAAAGGCACGCGACAGGAAATTATATTTTGTTATTTGTGGAGGCCAAATGTGGGCACATGTTGGAGTGGGGGGAAGTGGGGGAGACGATGGCCCCCCACCTGAAGTGTCACCACACCACCACCACCATCCCGGCGTACACCATACCGCACCACCACCACCACCTCCTCCTCCACCTCCGACACACGGTGATTGGAGATGGGATTCTCAACACCGACACTACTCTCAGGTAAATCATACCTGCTTGCTGCCTACTCATTGGCAGGGCGAGCGTGGCCGACACACGCATCGTGTGCCGCACCTCACACACATGCTCCAGCAGTCTTTTATCAATACTGTGCCGTCCCCCTTTGATCAAGTGCATTCCCTACCACACAATTTACAAGCGAACGCATCATTCGGTGCCCAATTTTACACGATACACGAAGCCGCTGCGAATGTTTACCGGGTGCATACTCTGGCTGCAGACCTGCATTGCGCACGCGCAAAATGCAGCCCACCTGTTGAACTCTCCTCGTGGAGCGGCTGGTGGCCTGGGACTCGGTTTTTGCACCAGGCATTTTTGCACGGCTGGGCTTCAGACCACATGCCGCGTTTTTTCAGCCGCTTTCGGCTACAATGAGTTTAGTGAGTCAGCAGCTGTGAAAGGCGAGCGGTGGTAGATGACATCCCAGGGTATCATTTCCTGTACTTCATCAAAGGGCTATCGTGTTGGATTAGACCTTCGGTTTAATCATTTAGCTATCAAATTGTCTTAGATATTTTTCTTTATTTTGTCTTTTGAACGATTCATACTTATGACTTTGCCTCGGTCTTTCTTTTTTGATTTTCTGTGGCCGGTCACTTAGTACCACGTAGGAATGACGAATCAAATAACACTCAACGGTACTTAGGAACAATCTTTACACACGTTTGCCGGAGAAACATCATGGCACAGTTTTCGAAATACAGCCCACAGCGCATCATGCGAAACGAACATTCATTGCAATATGATTATCGCCAATAATACGCTAAACATATAAACTCATCATGTACCTCAAGGTTTTCACCATGTTGCAAGCATCAAATAAAATCTATTATCTTCGTATTTGTTCTCAATGACGGCACATCATCATATTTTCTTTGTCTTTTACATATTTATCCCACCAACATCACACATCACACTTAAATCCTCTACATCTTGAGGGCACATCACAGCAGTTTTACCGCGCAGACTTCATCACACATTACCTAGGTCAGGTAGACGAAGTAGAGAAGAGGGAGATGGGGAGGAAGGAGGGGGGAGGTAGAGATCATCATTAACATTCCCAGGATATATATTTTTTTTATATATAATTCCTTCCGAATTATAAAAATGTTATCTCCCCGTTGCCAAGGGAGATCCTTTCCGTATCCCCTCTACAAGTCCCCCATTACACACGCGCGCCCGAGTTTTCCGGGGCCTGAGTGCGTCTGCGTGACACGACCGGCGGAGATCCGTGCGGTACGGCTGCGGGCGGCGAGTGACCAAACACTCTACGGGGGTTAATTGCATGTTTGACTTACGCGTGGCCGGAATTATTACCTGCCGTTGTCTTTTTGGAGATCAGTGTACTTTCAATGTTATTGCCGTAGCTGATTTTGCGATCAGTGTATTTTCAGTTTACTTACGCCGTGCGTGGCGTAGATAGACAATTTCTCTAGTCCATGTATATGTAAACAATATCTGTCAATAAAATAAAATGAACATCATCATTATTGTTATAATTATTATCATTATTATTATTATCATGATGATAATGATTTTTATCATTATCGTAATTACTGTTGCAATTTTATAATTGTTATTATTATTATCATCATTATTATTATCATCATCATTATTATTATTATTATGATTATTGTTATTATCATTATTAGTAGTATCGTTATTATTGTCATTATTTTGTTGTAATCATTTTTTATTATTATTTTCATTATTATTATTGTTGTTATCATTACTAATGTTATTATTATTATTATTATTTTATTATTATTATTATTATTATTATTATCATTATCATTATCATTATTATTATTATTATTATTATTATTATTATTATTATTATTATTATTATTATTTCCATCATCGTTATTATTTTCATTATTATTGTCACTTTCATTATCATTACTTTTACTATTATTATTATTATTATCATTTATAATAATAATGATAATAGTAATAAAAAGATTTTCATTATTATTATTATTATTATTATTATTATTATTATTATTATTGTTATTATTATTACTATTATAGTTATTATTATTATAGTTATTGTTATCGTTATTATTACTATTACTATCATCATTATTTCATTAAGAAATCCTTTATTTATCCATTTGTCTTTTGATTTCTCTTTCCTTCGATTTCCATTTCGTTTTCGTGCAAACGTTCACACTTTTTTCACGATTCCTTGTTTATGTCGTTTGTTGTTGTTTTTTTCATTGTACTCCTATAGTCTTAATTTGTTTAGATTTATTTTATAGTTCGGAAATATTTGTTTGTCATAATTTGGTGGTGATAATGATAATGACATATGAAAATAGTTATAGGATTTGTAATGGTAATGATGTGATGATAAAAATGTGAATAGCAATATTGATAATGGTGGTAATTGCGACGACGACGACGGTGATGATGATAATATGATGATGATCACCACCACCATCATCATCATCGTCATCATCATCATCATCATCATCATCATCATCACATCATCATCATCATCATTATCATCATCATCAACCTCCATTATCATCATCATCATTATTCCCCACCATCACCACCACTACCACCACCAACGCCAAACATATCCTTTGGGTATTTATAGTCATAATTTCTAGCACAGATTTTTTTCTCGCATTTTTTTCAACGAAGAGCAGGAGAAAGTCGGGCGGCAGGGTTAGGGGGAAGGGGGGTAGGGGAGGAGATATACTAGGCGTATCAGCAGCTATCAAAGACATTTTATCGAGGAAAATATGCACGCACTGTGACTTACAGTGAGGTTGTCTAGCTGGTCAGTTCTTATTTACAACTTGCAGGTTCCGAAAATTTGCGATTTGATTTGCGCATCGCTGATGTGTTTTCTGTGTATCCCATCCCCCGTTACTGTTATTTTTTTCTACCCTTTTGTTTTCATGTTTTCCTTTCCCTTATTTGTTCCTCTCTTCCTTCCCATAACATTCGAAATCTCAAGCGACTGACATTGTTTGTGTGTGTATGCGTGTTTGGGTATGTACCATGACAGTTTCGCGTTTTCTCCCTTTCGGCCAAAGCACCTCCCCGGAGGTCATTTGCATACCTCGCTTAATTATTCAACCTTTTTGCTTCGAAATCGCCTTCGTGTGAAACTTCATTATCCAGTAGAAGTCGCGGGCGTGAGGGAGGTCGGGGAGAGGGACGAGGGGGGGGGGGGGGGTGAGGGCTACATTATGCTTGCAAAGTGACCGAGCGTCTGCTGGCTATCGGTCGGCGGGTGTTATTTCATAGCCGGTGATATCTCGGGATTGAATCTTGGTAGGTTTGCTTGGGTTCAAAGGGGCTTGAAAGTTAGGGACTAGGGGAAAGTGTGCCATATTTTGTACAGACGCGAAAACAGTCAATTAATATTTGCAGATGAGAAATTGGATAACAATTGATGTCATTTGCGTAGATGCAAATTTGAGGGAAGGAGGGGTGTTGTTTAGGCAGATGCTAAATTGGAAAAAAAATCGTATTGATGCGGAATTATAGAAAATAGAGAGAAAAGTCATATATGTTTAGCAGTTTCTATTCTATTTACATTCGTTGATTGTTCTAGCTATCATTGCTATATAGTCATTCCATCTATTTTACTGCTTGCGTACGATGAAAAGGACGTCATATCATCATTACTGATTTTATCATCATTATCATTGTTATAAATCACCATAAAAAAGGCGTTATTCTCATCATTATCATTATCATCAAAAGTATCACCATACCACGCCATACCCAGCTCAGAGCAAGAGTCCCAGGGAGATTCCTAAGGCGCCGACCGCTATCATAAACAGTGCGTCACTGGATACCATTACCGGTGGTGTCTTGAGGTAGCAGTCCTGGCATTGCTCAGGCTCGCCTCGACTGCCACGGTTTCTGCAATCATGGTGGATTATTGGTCTCGTATTTTATCATAATTTTTATTGAGATTATTTATTCGTTTTCTTACTTTCTTTATTTTTTTTTGAAGTTTCAGGAATATGTGCATAAATCATCGTTTGTTTTCAGTAGGGCTGACACATGATCTAGCCGGTGATAGATATCGATAAAATCGATTTTCTCCTTGTTCATTTGATATATTTCCTCTCCTTCATATTCATTACATTTATCAAATCCTTCCGTCGCATTCGGAGGCTGCGTGAGGGGACAGTATTAGCAGTGAATAATTGAATGGCGCGTTGTTAGCAGTGCTACTGAAAACTAATAAGCCATGGCTAATCTCCTCTGCTATTCATTATGAATGACCAGTGTCCATGGCCAGGTGCGTTCTGTGCTGGCGTACAATGGCTCCACGGTGGTTACGGCTTATTTGCCGGTCACGTTAAAGAATTCGTTTCTTCTTCGTCTTCCTTTTCTTCTTTCTTTCGTTTTCTCGCTCTTTTCCTTCTTCTCCTTCATATTATTATTGTTATTGATTTTGTTATAATGATGATAATAATGATTATTTTTATTATCATTATTGTTTATTTTATTATCATTACTCACTCTCTCTCTCTCTCTCTCTCTCTCTCTCTCTCTCTCTCTCTCTCTCTCTCTCTCTCTCTCTCTCTCTCTCTCTCTCTCTCTCTCTCTCTCTCTCTCTCTCTCTCTCTCTCTCTCTCTCTCTAAAAAAAATGATGTTTAGGTTGTATGCAATGCTGTACATGTTAAAAGGATATGTGAGCATATTTAACTGTTCAGCCTTAGAAACTGTATACCATGTA